TCACTCAGCACTCAGTGTGAAATAAAAGCCACAGCTTTTATGTCTTGAATAGAGAGCACATTTTCAAAGAAGATTGCTCTGCTCAGAACCATTACTCAGCAGGGCAGAGAAAATGAGGGAGAGAAAAGGAAGGACTGGGAAGGTCCTCCAGCAGACATCACCAGGAATGACTGGCAGCTACCTGGTATCACTGTCTCTCAACACTGCTGCTGCTGCGGGGCCTCCATGCACACCAGAAACTGGTATCTGAGGCTACAGAAGTCTTATATTTCTTCCTCTTTTTTTTTGAGGAACAAGACTCCCTTTTTGGTTCTCATTGTCTGTTGCTCTGAAGTCAATAACGGATAAAATTGTGGTCAGTCAAGATATTGTGTGTGTGCATGTGTGTGTGTACTATGTCTGGATCCCCAGGAAGGCAGCCTGGTATTTTATTTTTAAACTTTGGCTCCTGTTGCACAGCCCCACATATAATGACTCCACTCCTGAAAGCTGGATAGTCTTCTGCTATCAGTTTTCAAAGAAAAACAAAGCCATACAAGCCAACATCACCAAGAGAACAAGAGCAAAGTTCTCTCCTGAAGATTTCTGTTCTCTTAAAAACTCAGGAGATCACAAAAATGTTAAGCCACCAGTGTCATTCCAGTTTCATGCTGCTGTATTCTCACAAGCTGCAGAATATTGTGCAAGTCCCAGCAACTAGTGTGGTTTTAGAGATTTCTCTAGCTTTTTATTTCTAGAAATTTGCTGGAGTTCTGCCAGTTTTTCCTAGCTGAGGACCAGATCTAACTAAAGGCTGTTGTTATGAAGTAGGAGTTTCTTCCTACCTGAAAGCAGAACCTGCAATGGGTCTTCAAGATCTCAGAAGCCAAAGAAGGCAGAACCAGACTTGCTAATCTTAGGACTGGTGGTATGGTTCACCCTTCCTGAAGACTCTGCCTTTCAGATGTGTTGCAAAGCTGGCAAACTAATTTGTATCATTTACCTCTAAACCACCTGCAGTATAAGATCATTTTCACAGTGACGCTTCACTGTCCCCACCCAAAAAAAAAGTGGTTTCCTTTTCAGCTGAGCACACAGGGTCTGTATCCGTAGGCTTCATTACTAGAAGGACAGAAACATTCAAGTTAAAGACAAGAGGACTCCTTTTCACCCACGCCTGGGAGAAAACATTGTACACAGAATATGGGAGAGAAACAGAGAAAGAGTGGTTTGTCAAAAGGAAGTCACCTTCTTATCTGTACTTCCATTTCATGATGGGACATAGCCACCAATCTCAGCACTATTTACAGGTTAAAATAGTCACTCATTCCAAAAACAAGAGGAACAGCTTAGACATCTTTCTCCTTCTTCATTCCTGAACTCTTCTCTTCTCCTATTGTCTTCTAACTCCTCCACCTAGACTAGTGCGATACCGAGTTCTGAATCTTGAAAGTAGCCTTCCAAAACTGAAACTAAAAATTAAGAGCTGAAAACAAGCTGTCAATTAGGGAATCAAAACCCTCTTTCACCCTGCTGTAGTAATTGGTTTATACAGTCAAAAATAAAAGCATTTACAGTGAGGTCTCTACTGCTGCATGACCTCTGAAGCCAAGCTAATATACCATTTTTCCCAGAAATGGACCTGTTTGTGCATCAGTTATCAAGAGAGAGGATCTAATCATAGTACTCACTGTTAAAGTCTTTTACAAGGACAGAAGACGAGTTAATCTCTAGGTTTCCTAGATTTATCATCCTTAGCAGACCAAAGCCTGAGATTTTGAGAGGTGTCTAACAAAAAATGAACCAGGGTCTATGGTCTAGACCCTTGAATCTACTGAAATGCTTTCGTAATACCAATACTACTAATAGGACTACTAATAATAATTTCAGATAGCTTTGTGGGCTATCTCTAATATAAAGTTAAGTTATTCTAAGAAACTGACATGTTGACAAAATCTGATTGGATTTTTGTGCCACAATCACCTCTATGGTAGCTACAGGGCAAAGACTCTAGTTCCCATCTGCAAAACCAGGACTAGAGTTCTGGATGACCAAAGTGCTGGGTTGTAGAGTTGTAGAGGAAACCAGAGATCTTCTGTCTGGGAGATTTACTCATCCTTTAGAAACTACAATGTGAAAGTCTACAGCAGCTCTGTCAGGACTACAAAAAACCTGTTCCATTTCTTCATTTCCTCTGCTGTAGAGACAACAGAAAAATGCATCTAACTATTAAGAGGAAGGTAGCTTCCACCAATCTTCTGCATAGATTCCACTTTGAGAACAAAATGCAAATCATTTGTCCATAGTTTTAAGCCCAAGACAGGGAAATGGAAGAAAACCCACTAACAGATAATCAAGCCCAAACTCATAACTACAAACCCACAGTCAGTCTTATCAGTTCACCTAATTTGGTTGTTTCCCATTTCTTTGCCAAGTGAGTTTTAGCAGCACATTCTGCTAAAACTCAACCACATCCTAGGCTCCCTCCACCTCCACACTACAGCCTTCTCATCAGCTGTTCTTTAAGTCAGCTGATCCCTGATTTGAGATAACAGCACTGAGAGTCTTTTTTCTGAATGTTCACCTTCTACAACCAGACAAGTTCTCCACAAGCAACTCAATGGCAACAGTCAAGCCTGTCTCCCACCATAGCATCTGAAGAGAAACTACACTTAGACTTGACTGCTTATGGCCTTTTTACAGAGTTCATTAGTTCTTCCAATGGCTTTTATTTTTTTCTTTTCTACAATTAAATCAGAAATAAACAATAGTTTATACAACAAGCATTTTCTAGTCTTATATTCTAGCCACTGCATCTTTTTACAGCTTGGTACAGACTCCATATTCCTATAATATTGGACACAGCCTGGCAAATTAGCTGCTTTTAGTCCTCCAAATGTCACTTCTGAAGACCTCTGAAGGGGAGGAATGGACTACCTGAAAGCTTTCACAGTGAAGCACAATTTTCCAGACTTTAAGTCATTACTATCCCCAGCATTTCCAGGAATGGATTTACTGTTCCAAGAGTGATACTCACACACATCAGCAGAGGAATGACACTATGTCCTGTGTTTCCACATCTAAATGCTGTCCTAGTTCACTTAGCTATTCTAAGCATTTTAAATGTATCTACCACTTTGCAGGTTCACTTTTTTTCTCATTTAAAAGGAAGACAAGAGTCTTCAAGTCCACACAGGCTACAAAGCTAACACTTTTCTTGAATGAGTCACAGAGCATTTTCTGTTCTACTTTTTCTATCTGTTATAAACTGAATGACAATCATTTAGGTCTGATATGTTATCAAATATAAATTACTGGTGTAAAAAACAGACGGGAAAAGGGAAAGTCTCTTCAAATCTTGTCAGATACCCTACTTGTCTGACCTGTGCAATGCTTTTATTTTGAATGGAATGAGTCTAAGATAAAAAGGAAAACTCTTGCTTTTCTCTTTGGGATCAAGGGCTCTCAAAGGCATAACACTGGTGTTATTTTTTGATCCATCAAAGCAAGGTCATTACCTACTTTGGTCATGGAAAACTTCAAGTCTTTTCTGATAGACTAGAAAAGCCAACGGCCAATGAGATCTGACTCGCCTGCACTCTCTGCATGAGGTTCTCTTATCCCACAGTCCCCATTCTTCTAGAGCTGCAAAAGCAGGTGCCTCCATCTGGATCATCCCTGAGGCACTCAGCCAATTCTCAATTCCTTTTACTTGGGGGAAATAAAAAAAAAATAAAAAGAAGTGCAAAAGGTATTTATATTATATTAGACTGAGATCTAAAGAGGGTACAATTACATGTTTTGATCATTTGCCTTATTCAGCTCAACTCCATTGGAATATCTGATGACAGCCCACAAGACTGCTATTCTCTTTCAAGTATAACGGATAAATTCCAAAATTCAACTTTTGAACACAGGAACTTCAGACATCCACCTTGCTTAACCTGATATAGATGACTGAGAACCCAAGCACATTGCTCTCATTCAAAATTTCATGGAAGCCAATCCTTCATAGTTCCTCTTACATCTAGGTCACAATGTATCCTTGTATTTTCTACAAAAAGATTATCAGCTGGCACGGTGCTCTGACTTTTCAGAAAACAGTGATTGGTCCAGCTGTCTTGTATCTTAATGAGTCTTACTATTAAGAAAATAAAAATATATCCCACAAAGTTGAGATCTGCCTAATATAAATTTGGGAATGTAACAGCTTCAAAGGATATTTTTCTCAAAATCTCCAAACCTAGCCAAGATCTGCTGTGCCTCCTATTTCCTGAAGAGGCTGTAAACAGAAGATAGTAGGAAATATTTTTTCAGCCTT